TGAAGGAATAGAGAAGCAAGCGGTGAGGATTTATCTGGAAAGTGTGAAGTGGGGTAGAAGCATGTGCAATGACTCTGAGATAAAAGGATGTCTGGGTGCTCAAAGACAGAAAGGAGGCCAAGATGGCTGGTGCAGAGTTAGCAAGAATACTAGGAAGTGGGTCAGAGAATTAGAGGGAACATATCCCTGGGTCCTGGAAGGACTCTGGGGCAAGTTGTACAGAAAGGTTTTGAGAAGAGGGGCAGCCTGATCTTACTCTTTCTGGGTGCCAGTGGACAAGGGCCTATCAAGGCAAGAGTGGAAGCAGGGAAACCAAAGAGGAACCTATTGCTATAATGAGATAAGAAGATGAGCAGGAAGACAGGAGTGGAGGTGGCTGGACTCACCATACACTGCAGAGGAGAGCCAGTGGGATTTGTTGATGGACTGATTGTAGAATAGAAAGAAGGTAAAGATTCAAGTGTGTCAGAGTGGTGCCCATAGTGAACTTTTCCTCTGGTATGAATGCACTTTTATAGCTCCTTCCTCTTGAACCTGGACTGAAAAAAAAAGTGACTTAATTTAAGCAATCAATGTGACAAAAATGATGCAAGCCAGTTCAGACTGAAACCTGAAGACGTTCTGGCAGCTTCTACTTTTGTGCTCCTGGAAACCTTGAGCTTCCATGTCTTTCAGGGAGGTGGCATGGAAAGTCCACATGGAGAAGCTCTGAGTTTGTATGGAGAAAGAAGAAAGCTCAGCCATCCCAGTGTCCCAGCTGAGCCCAGTCTCCAGGTCACCTCCACTGGACACACCTCACCAGGGACTACCAGCAAGAGCGGCAGAAAAGGGAAGAAAAACACCAATGGAAGCCAAATCTAGCTTACAGCATTGTGAGCAAATAAAATACTTATAGTTTAAACCATAAAGGTTTGGGGTTATTTGCTACTCAGCCATAGGTATGTGAAACAGATGACCCCAAGAGTTTTGGCTTGAGATCCAGAAGGATGGAGTTAACATTAACCTCATGGGAAGACTTAGTTCATATGTTTTAGGAAAGAACTTAAAATCTCACTACTTCTACATGGAAAGCAGCACGTTTTTCTTACTATATTAGAAGTCCTCTATCTCAAGCCCATTGCTAGATTTTCCAAGGTTAGGACAGATTTTTAGGAGACATTTAGGAGTAGTATCTCTAACGTAACAGCAATAGTAGGGGTTAAAGGAATTATTTTGATTTTCTTATTCCCTTCCCAGCTCTTGAGGCTCTGCTAACAACGGAGAAATCCCCGTGACAGTCTAAGGCAGGGAAACCCTCGCCCAGTTCCCCTGGCTTTTCCCACTGTGGTTTCAGAGCTTTGGTGACTGCATCATGTAAAGGAGAAACCACTGAGCTCACATTCCCTCTCAGCTTTCCACAACTGGTTACGGTGAACCACCTTTGGCTTGGCTGATGGTATTCTGGAAGCTGAGTGCGCCACCCTGGAAGGAAGTCCTTGCCACTTTTAGATTTAATCCTTCCTGTGGCCACATACTTGAGACAGCTGCATGTTGAAAATGAAAAACTGCCTGGTCAATCTGGTTTGCCTATGGGTCTCTGATCACAGATATCTGGACTCATACCTTGCGGACTTGAACCCAAACTGAGTGTTGGGGAAAGCAGTGTATTCCTTAATGTCCTGGGACAAATATTAATATAAAATGATTACTTTTATGTTGCTAACCTCCCATTCAGTCTCATCAATAGCCTTCTATATTCACCCACCCATACCTACTTCTCTTGGTTACTCAGCCTCAGAAAAGGGTTTAGAATAGAATTAAAGTAAAACAAATAAATTGTACACATGGGCTCATCTCTTTATGGCTTAGTGTTTTCTTGGTCCAGTGTCCCTAAGAGGGAGGAGTGGCTTCTGCATAAACTGCCTTTGGAGGCGCTCCATCCTGGAACTAGCCACTGCAACCTTATGTTGGACAAGGAGACTGGGCTTCACAGCAAAAAGGGAGTCAGAGTTTTGAGTGTTTATATGATTTATGTCAGAACAAAGTCGATATATTTGACCTAATACACAGTTTGCTTTAAGAAAGTCTAGGGAGGTATTTTTTTTTTTTTGAAAAACAAATTGACCATAAAATTATGTTATGGTTGGGCATCCAGCCTTGGAAGACAGAATTCTGGAAATAGGCTTCATATAAGATTGTTATGGAGATGTATCATATGGAAATGTGTCCATGGTAAAGGACACCGTTGTTATATTCAAACGTCTTAAAGTAATGAGAAGACTTTGGCTATTTCTGATAACTACTATTCACACCATTCCAGGTCAAGGACATTTATCATTCCCTGAGAAGATTCTTGATGAATTGCTGCTCTTCATCAGCTTCTTAAAAGTGCCCACGTGTCTCCAGCATTCTGGTGCCTATCAACACTGAGTTAGTTACAAAGTTCTCAGACTTTTGTGGCACATGCAGAGTTACTTCTGGGAAATGATGATTCTTCCTTATGATTCTTCACTTGTGGCTTGCTGTGTGCAGCAATAGGGCAGCTTTCCATGGTTCCAGAGGCATTCTCAAGCACAGAAGTACAGATATTAGCCTTCAGTTGTCTAACACGCAGAAGGTCCAAGGGCAATGAAGATGGACTTCTCTGGGATGTCTGCTAAATTGGCTTTCATTGGCTAAGACCTTATCACAGTTTTCACTGCACACACACGTAGCCTCAGAAAATGGATTTTGACTGTACACTTCAGTAGTATCATGGATTTCTATAAACGCTTTAAGATAAAAAAAAACATGTATTGACCAGCATTAGGCTGAACCAGCAATATATGGAGGAGGCAGTAAGTGACATACTATGTAAAATCATGGGTATCTTTTCATGATATTCTTAAACGAAAAGTACATGTTACATAATCCCCTTTGGGGTCTTCAACATCACACTATTTCTGTGTTAAAAACACATGAAAATTCATGCATAAAGAGTCTATGAGGTGTTAACTGTTGTCTCTAGGAAAGTGGGGCTATGAGTTAATTTTTTTTTCTTGATTTCCCTTATCTATTTTCTGACTTTTTTCATACTAAGCATGGTTTGCTTTTATAATAATAATGACCAGTTTAAAAAAAGATGCCACAATAATTAAATATAATCTAAATATTAAGGAAAAACCCTACCACCTTCAAAAATATTCTTCAGTCACTCCTTAATTTCTTTACTCCCTCCATTTAGTGTGTCAAAATAGAACAATATTGGTTCTGTAGTAATCTGCAGGCAACTGGCATGCAACATTACCATTCTCAAACATAGGAGAAAATGAAGAAATAAGCAAAAAAGGGTTAGGAGCAGCCCAGAATGGATGTCTCTAATTCTATAAACCAAACTCATTCATTTTGCTCAAAAGCACCTCAGATTAGCATTAGAGACTTGTTCATCCCTACTTTATACACAGTTCCAACAGGTATATCAACAGATATCTGAATTCAAGTTCATATTTAGAAGTGGTAATTAAGAGAATGGGTTTGGCATAGGCAGAAAAAGTAAGGATGGGGAGAAGTGGCAGAGCTGACAAGAGAGTACAAAGCCTCTTACCAGACTACCGTCCTCAGCACAGGTGCTCTAGTTACCTGGAAGAAGAGCACACACCTCTGTGCTCCTTACCAAATCCTGAAGACAACACACTTCAAAACCCAGAACAGGGTCATAGTGATAGCCATGGAGGGGCCAGACCAGGCTTAATTATATTTGAGAACCAAACATCCAGGGCTCAGCCCTTAAATTGAAATCAAAATCACTCATGTTACTACCTTAAAATAAATCTTCAGAATCTAGGTGACATAAGCCGGACTAGAGAATAAGGTTATCTTCTTATCTGTTTCTACCTTTTCTACTTTTCTGTGAAATGAAATTATTTTGTATCTATTGATATCTGACTCCAGCATCTGATCTTTAATATCTGTTCTTATAATGAAGCAACTTATATAAATTTTTATATTTGTGCCTCCATGATTTTATATATCACTTTTTTTTTTCCTATCTAGATTCACAGAATTCCTTTAAAAATATTTAGAAAATTGGAGAATAAAGTCTGAACAAACTTGTTCTTAGAGAGTTGGTACACTTTTATATGTACCCATTTTAAAATTCTTCATAAAAGGGTTCTTTAACAAGCTCAAACTTTTAAATATGAATAAAATAAAGCCAAAAAGAGATGAAAGAAATGCCATTCCTGGTGAAAGAGGTCAGATGGTTTTTCAGACTCTAAAGTGTCCTGATAGTTTTACATGATCCAGTCCAGTTCCTGAAAAAATCCTGACAACAGGTAACAGGTCTTTGAAAGCTTTTGAAGCCAAAGGCTCCCAACCAGCCAGCCCATCCCTTACCCAGTTCTCAGTCTCATTAAGAATGAGAAACAGATACCACGGCACCAACCTGTCTACGAGAGTGCAGCGAGACAAATGTAATTGCCTGTACAAGAAATATAAATCAGCTACTCTCAAATCATTCATATCTACACCCACCCCATTTTGGTTGTCTTTCCTTTATAATTTGGCCATACGTCCAAGTCAAGTGTATAATTTCATCTGGGGCTTTATCAGTTACCGCCCAGAGCCATGATTATATGGTACAGGGAAACTTCCTCCCCCTGAGCGAGTCTATCTTTAGTATCTTCTTGATAACCACTTTTTACAAAAAAAAAAAAAAAAAATCAAAAGGAAAGTCTTTTTTTCTTTTTGTGTGTGTGTGTGTGTGTGTGTATGTGGCTCCAGAATCCCCAAATATAGCATTTAGAAGCAATTTATCAACTTTCAGCTTTCAGCTGCCACTGCCATTTTTCAAAGCAAAGTGTTTTAGGGGTCTCCATATTGAAGATTCAATCATGTACCAAGTTCATCTTGGTAGTGTCTACCAAATATGCACAGAGATAAAACTGGATTTTGAACAATCATAACAGCAGCAAAATAGATAATGGTATGACTTCTGGAAGAAGTAACTTTTGACAAACACAATACAAAACAGGGCTCCGATCTAGGGTTCAAAAGATAATTTATTAGTCTGAGAAGAGAAGTCACACACTATACCCAGTAATACGCTTCTTTTATTTTTGTGCCTTTATCTTAAAAATATATTTAAACAAGAAACAAATATTGAATTTTCCCATAAACTTTGCTTTCTTATTTACAGTGTTACATTGTAAATAACATTCCATTATACACAAATTAAGGACTGTGCATTATTGTATGTTCTCTTTACATATTCTTTCATAATATAGTACATATAGCTCGAAGCTATGCAATATTTAAGCTTAGAAAAGCTGAGGAAAGAAGTACAAACTTTCTCAAATAAGACTATTATTTAAAAAGGTTCTGACCTTAATTCTCTGCTAGATTGTTTCACTGAAACCATTCTTTGTTAAAGAAAAATGCCCCATATGAGGGATGAAAACAACAGTTTAAGTTACCACAGGATCCACTTAAACTGGTTAACAAATAAAAACACCTTATTACTTATTACTGTTATTAAATGGAGCACTACCACTGTCAAATCATTTAAACAAATAGATTTACTCTACAAATCAGACACACTACATCAATGACAGCTGGTACCTCTTTACAAAATAAAAAATGTTTCCTGTAACTTTAGGTTTTACTTGTAAACAGTTAAAGCACACATTTTGTAAAGATGATTTAATCATTCCTGGTCTTAGGTTACACAATGAGGAGTTTCTATTTCATTAAGGGAGAAGCAAGCACACACTCTGCAGATACATACACACATGCATGCGAACACGCATATCTACATACCCACAGGCACCCACACCCAGCACCCACACACACTCACCCACCAAAGGACCACTTGTCACTAAGCGCTAACTGCAGCAGCACTTGTGTCTTGAGCGGTACATGAGGTTGAATAGGAATTATAAAACAAGGAAGATAAAACATCCAACTTCCATTAAAAACCCCAAAAGCTCAGCTTCTGAAACACTTTTCAGACACTTCATGCTTGGCCTGAAGGGTCAGTTCACTGGGCTCTCCAGGCGGCAAACCCCACCTTCGATTGCAACCGACTGTCCTGCAACTGCACCAGGAGGGAGTCTTGAAATGTGAGTCTGCAGAAAAGGGAAAGCAGAAAGCAGAGGTCAGAGGTGCCAGCAGTGTCCCTCCACTTCTGAGAAAGGTGGAGTGAACTCCAAGTGACATTCACTTTGCTCCTGAGCATCTGCTATAAGCCAAGCACAACACCAGTCAGTAGAGATGCAGATGTGATCAAGACAGCCAAGGCCCCTGACAGTGCCCAATGTACAGTTTAATCATATCCACAACAGTAATGGTTTTAATGCCAACAATATTGAACATATTCTAGTTATCTAAAGACTAATAATTTATTTACCTTTTGTCCTTTAAATATTCAAAACAACTGAGCATGCTTAATCCATGTTTATATCCCAATTTATTCCTTAAAAGATTTAAGTAGCTTACAAGAATTAAGATGATTCAATAACCTAAAGTGAATAAGGAAATGAGGTAAAACAAAACTAAGAACTTACAAAACAAGGGACAGACAAAAGTGAGATTAACACATAAAATCTAGACTCAGGAGTTCTGTATCCATGTTGGAGGCAGGATGCTGCTGTGCTTCTCAGTTTCCTTCAGGCCAAGATCAGGTAGATGGGTCATGTAGTGTACAGGATCACAGCAACCAATTGCTCAGATGAGAGCATCTGTTCTTAGCTCTGGGGCCAAGGAGACATTTCTCCTCTGGGTATACATAAAAAGGGTGCTGGGTAGAGTGGATGAGTGAAGACAAGTTGTGCCGTGCTGATTGTAACAATGTCACTCAAAGGAGGCTGAGGCCCAAGTGGAAGACAGTAAATGCTATCCACAGGTCAGGGCAGTATCAGCCAGGAATTCCTTTTGTGTGTGTGTGTGTGTGTGTGTGTGTGTGTGTGTGTGTGTGTGAGAGAGAGAGAGAGAGAGAGAGAGAGATCTGGCTTAATCCAGGGACAGAAAAATATCAGGAAAAACGAAGGAGTGGCATAACATTCAGTTAATCCTCTTTAATTCTGTTTCTCTAAACAGCTTTTCCTAAGGACTGAACCACAGTGAGTTCAAGTCCATGGAATAAGATTGTTAGGCTACACCCAGGGTAGGACTACACGCTTCTATGCAACCAAAAATGAAGCAGGTATAAGTTTATGTGGAATAACAAGCCATTTGGTTTATAGTGTGAGGGCAGACACTCCTCAGAGGCTGACTGCACAAGTCCAGTAAGAGTAGCTGACAAAAGTCAATAATCTGGAAAATAATGAAGAATAGGAAATGGTTTGGGGTACTTAGTTTTTCTGTGTGCAAGCCAGGAAGCAATCTATAATGTACAAGGGTGAGGTGGGTTGAATTTGGAGGTGAAGCTGGGCAAGGAGGTCTCTATGATACCTCTTAGAATCCAAGTATCCTTGAATTCATTCACCTGACTCAGGCCACCAAGAATCATGCCTCAGAATCTGTTCTAATTACTGTAGCTGATAGCCAAATTTGGGTCTCACCACGTAAGTATATCAAACCTAAGAAGTTCTAGTAAAACAAACTTATGGAACTTTTGTTTCTTGTGATGCCTCATTAATCTGTGTGTGGGGAGGGAACTTAAAAGAGGAAGTTTTTTTTTTTTTTTGTCCTGCTGATCAGCACACATTGTCACTCCACGCACAAAAATCTCAAATCCCACAATTCCTGGAGTTCAACATTGATGAGACTGTTTTTACTTTTAGTCATTTGTACCATGGATTGAGAATTTTTTTCCAAGTCATCATCCATCAGAACGTTTATTTAAGGTCTTCCTAAAGTAACAAACAAAAAATCGTGAGTCCCTCAGTCAGTTCCATCTCTAATCTCATCCTTTAGTCAGGAATATAGGCATGCAGCTATGACATGGATTAAGAATAAAAGATGGGATGGTGGTTCCTCAAAAGCTTACACATAGCATTATCATGTAACAATTCCACTTCTGGAAATATACTCTTCCCCCACAAAAGTGAAAGCAATGACTCAGATATATGTACACCAATGTTCACACCAGATTATTCACAATAGGCAAAAGATGAAAGTAACCCAAAATATGGTATATACATATGATGGAATATTGTTCAGCCTTAAAAATGAATGAAATTCTGACCCATGCTACAACATGAGTGAATCTTGAAAACACGCTAAGTAAAATAAGCCAGACAGAAAAGGACAAAAATAGTATGGTTCTATTTATATGAGGTACTGTTTTAGTCAGCTTTCCATGGTGACCAAAATCTGTGACAAAAACAACTTAGAGGAGGGAAAGTTTATTTGGGGCTCATGTTTTCAGAGTTCTCAATCTATAGATGACCAACTCTATTGCTCTGGGTCCAAGGTGAGGTAGAGTATCATGGTGGAAGAGCACGGTGGAGAAAAGCTGCTCCCCTCATGGTAGCAAAGAAGCAGAGAAAGAGAGGGAAGAATAATCCCTCCAGGATAGAACCCTTCTCCAGCCACACCCCACCTGCATACAGTTATCACTCAGTCAGTCCATTCAAAGTAGGATGGACTGATTAGGTTAAAGTTCTCACATTACAATCACTTTACCATCAAACACTCCTGTATTAACACAGAAACTTTTGGGAGACATCTTCTATTTAAACCATAACAGGCACCTATTAGTCAAATTCATAGCTATAAAATGCAATGTGGTTGCCAGCGGCTTGGGAGAGAATAGGATGGGAGATACTTTTTAATGGGTCCAAAATTTCCATTTGGGATGATGAAAAAGCTCCAGAGATGAAAGTGGTAATGGTTTCATTCAAGTGAATATATTTAATACCACTGAACTATATACCCTTAAAATTGGTTAAAATGGTAAAGCCAACTCATGTATGTTTTACCACAATTACAAAAAAGAAAGAAAGAAAGAAAGAAAGCAGAAATGACAAATTACTACCTGATCCATATAGCTATTCATAAGAGAAGGAACTCACAAGAAATTAATCCATGATGGAGATTGCATAGGAAAAACATCAACACCACTATTCTATTCATAAATAGATTGGAATTTTGCAAGTAGATTAACCAAAAATCTATTCTTTTTTTTTTTTTTTTTTTAAAAATCTATTCTTAACAGAGATGCTCACAGGAAAATCTGTTCTCAGACTTCCCAGCAATTCAGGGAGAATCTAAAGGGATCACCTGGAAGTCATGATGGTTCAGGCATCAGAGGACAAAGAGAATAAATGGAGTGTTTAAAAAAGATTGAAGAGTTCCAACATTTCAAAGCAGATAATTTAAAAATTGTCTTGGGAATGGTGGTATTAAAGCAATGGATTTCCTGCTGACCACAGAAAAGTTCAGCACCGAAGGAGGGAACTCCTGTTCCATCGACCAGGGGACTTGACAGCAATCTCCTGAGGTTTACAAAAACACAGATGGCCAATCAAAAATTATTTCTAACACTCCCACCCTTGCCAAGCTTATGATAGCAGATTATCTAAATAAGCTGAAGTCAGCCACAAAGTATCAAGGAAAGTTAGGAAGGGAAAAAAGGGGTGAGATTAGAAAAGTTGGCAATGATCTTGAGATGTTTATCAACTATACTTGGGCAAAATACTACACATACATTTAGATTTTTATAAATTGAACTGTTTGAAAAAAACATAAATATTCAAAATAAAAAACTAGACAAATTAGTTGTTATGATTAATTTCTCAAGATGGTCTCTTCCCTAAATCATCATCTAGTCCAGGAAGATTTCCCAATTATAAAACATGTGGGAACAATGTTGGTGTTGAGGAGAATAAAATGGTTAATTATTCATATGTCAATTCTTCACCAGTTTCATCCATCAACATGATCTTCTGACTTATTAGAAAATAAGTGACCTTGGTTTGAAAAAGTTTAAGCCACAGGTACTTCCAGGTTTCTGTGGGGATTTCAATGGGGCATCAAGTCATATAAATAGTGGGAGCTGTTTAAGAAAATGTTTTATATGAGTGTTTATCTCCAAACACTTCTTTAGAGAAATGGGTTTGAATTTCTCTTGACCACTTTCTACAATGAATTTAGAAATCAACATTTAAAAATTCAATAAAGTATTTTATATTGAGTGTTTAAGGACTAAATAGATTCAATGGTATCCTATCAGCAGAGGAACTTAACAAGGAGCCTACAACTATTTAAACAGCAGTGCAATTTTTAAAAAAAATTATTTATTTATTTTAATTAGGTATATATGACAGCAGAATTCATTTTGATTCATATACACAACTGCAGCAAAACTTTCCATTTCTCTGATTGTACACAATGTAGTGTCACACCATATATGCAGTCATACATGTACCTAGGGTAATAATGTCCATCTCATTCCACCATCTTTCCTGCCCCCATACTCCCTCCTCTCCCCCACCTCCCAGAGTTTGCCCAAAGTTCCTCCATTTTTTTCCCATGCCCCTGCCCCCCATTATGGATTAGCATCCACTTATTGGAGAGAACATTTGGCCTTTGGTTTTTTGGGGGATTGGTTTACTTTGCTTAGAATGATATTCTCCAACTCCATGCATTATGCAAATGCCATAATTTTATTGTCTTTTAATGCTAAGTAATATTCCATTGTGTATATATACCACATTTTCTTTATCCATTTTTCTATTGAAGGGCATCTAGCTTGGTTTCTCAGTTTAGTTATTGTGAATTGAGCTGCTATAAACATTGATGTGGCTGTGTTACTATAGTACACTGATTTTAAGTCCTTTAGGTATAGACTGAGGAGTGGGATAGCTAGGTCAAATGGTGGTTCCATACCAAGTTTTGTAAGGAGTCTCCATACTGCTTTCCAGAGTGGTTACACCAATTTGCAGACCCACCAGCAATATTTGAGTGCAGCAGTGCAATTTTATTGTAATTTAGAATTCATGAGAAATAACACATGAAATGCAGGAGAATAATCCATTTGGAGTCATCCTGCTACATACCCCAGTTGTATAGCTCTCTATCCATGATTCCATACCTTTAATATCCTTTTCTGGATCTTTCTGAAGGAAAGACTTCCAGGACACAATTCAATCTAGAAGCTCTTCTCCTAGTTCTATAGCACCCA